TATACAAAAGTGTTTTGATGCACTTGAATCCCAGGGATTACATTTACTGAAAGATGCATGTCCAATGAATTTTCAAGCTGAAACAAGGGGTCAGCATTATCCAAACCATAGCATGTCTGGAAATAGACTAAAATATTCAGTATGGCCACTCATGGTCCAGGCCTTATTCCATTTTTTTTCAAGAGTACTATCCTTTTCCCCCAGCACTTCCATCATGGATTACTAAAATGTATTTAGCATCTGAATGAAGTACTACTAAGAAAGCCAATAAAGGCAATGCTGTTCCTACAGCTGTTATTTTAGCCTCTGAATGATTGCCATTCTATTACCACTAATAAGCTCAGGAAAATCACGCAAGTCATTCTTCCCCTGTTAAACTTCCTGTTTGCTGGTTCACATATTGATTTTAATTTTAACTGAAGTCAAAGAAGTAATATAGAACACATTGAGGCTTACAGCTATATATTTGCAGCTCGCTTTGGAAGGGTTTGTATGCTTTCTGTAGTGAAGCAGTAGCTGTGTGAAGATTTCAGTTATAAATTATAAGCAAAGAAATATAGCTTTGGATTTTTTTTAAAAAAACTACAAATCCCATAATTCTCCATTCAGTACATTCAACCTGAATAACAGACACTTTATAGACATGTAACTCTGGCTCATCTGGGAGAAAGGCCTCAATGTAAAGTCTTTGAGGCCTAACTCTGTCCAAATCTTCTTGTTCCTGTCCCAGTGCTACCTGAGATGTTTCTTCTGAACAGAAAACTAGGCAGAAATTCCAGAAAGGAAAATATACGTAGATCTCTCTCTGTGTCTCTGTAAGAGTTAGGGGGTCTCAGAATGCCATGTAGTTTAAAATCTGCACATAATACTCTCAAAAATGTAACTAAAAAGCATAAACAGTTGATTCACACACACACCTCCCCTGACCTGCGTCAGCCTCCCAACATGTCCCAACACCTTTCCTGGTTGCCACATAGAGCTGCCATGACAGGAAAGGGGGGCTGGCTGAGCTGCCACCATCAGACCAGGCATTGTGAATATCGGGGCCACAGGTAAACACGAGACTCACCTTTTTCAACAGAAATAGCAACAGAAATATAGGGCAGCTCCTTCTCCTGTTGTAGCTTGTGTATGGTGTGAACAAAATTTTCTCCCAAGGGGTTGTAGGAGCACACCATGACAGAGACCACTTCTTGTGGGAGTTGTAGTTAAAAAAAAACACATTTCAATGCTGTGGAGTGGGGTTGGGTTAAGCAAGCTTTTGCATTTGTTGTTGTTTCAACACAAATGTTTGTTTGTTTATTTGTTTGTTTATTTGTTTGTGTATTTATTTATTTGTTTGTTTGTTTGTTTGTTTATACCTTGTCTATCTGGTCCGAAAGGACCACTCTAGGCGGCTAAATACCACCCCTTAGTGCTACAGCACTCTCTGGGCGGTTTGCAACATAATTTTGCTAAGAATGCTTTGCCTCCTAGCAAGTTGGGTACTCATTTTAATGACCTCAGAAGGATGGAAAGCTGTATCAACCTTGAGTCAGATACTTAAACTTGCTAGGATCAAACTCGGGCCATATACAGAGCCTTGACTGCAGCACTGCAGTTTAATAATGCACCACATACTGTTGTGAATAGGACCTTTGTGGTTTATTTTCAAGGTTTCATTCACATAATGTGTTGAATAATTTCTTGAGTTTTGTACTTTTTAAAAGACATGTAATTCATCATGGGAGTTTTTATATTGTTTAGCCATGTGCTCTAATTGTATGCCATGTGCAGCTGTGATTTAAAAATGGATACTTCAGCCAAAAAGGCTCTTCCTTTCAGTTCATATTTTCAGCTTATCTGCATATTTTTTAATTGGTGTCTTATCTGTATACAATTCTGTCCCCCCCACCCCACCCCCATATTTGTGTCTTATTTTGTAAACAAATAACTGCCTGTTAGGGACATATGACACATGCACTTCCATCTTCTAGCAGCTGTGGAATCAGTTTCGTAGTATTAACTACAAATATCATGACTGAATCATGTTATGAGTCAGTCCTCCATAACTCCAAGATGACCTTTCAAAGCATGTGTTTACAAGCAGAGTCATCATACCACTGAGGGGTCCTTAAATTGAAGAGTTGGATAGAAAAAAATAAATAATTTTTTTGAAAATTTCTTTCAAGTTTTTTTTCCTAACAAGTGTAAGGGAAATAATTCTTTCTCTTAAAATAGGTTCAAAGGATTTCAAAATTCATTCCTGCCAGGTTGGGCTGGCAACTGGTGAGCATATGGTACGATAGAAAGGAAGGTGATGGTAGTCTGTCCTTGGGAAGATATCTCAGAATTCTCTCATTATTCCAGCCAGACAAGAAGACTAATGATATAGGAATCCCCTCAGATGTCGGATCGAAAATGTCCTGCAAGTTCAAATCTAAAAGGATTGTTCTGAAGTGTTTGAAGTAGTAAGTTATAAGCAAGTGAGACTTAGTTAAACTGCAAAGCGATGTTTGTTGGAGCAAAGATAAAATGGCTCCATTTTACAAATGCCTTGGTAGATTCTTACAAAACATCCATAATCTACAGCATTAATTTGCTGGAAAGAGATAGGGTTAAGTAAGAATGTTTATCCACTGTTGGTAGAGTAGCTGGGGTTCCAGTCCTCACTATGCTTGCAGAGAAATTGACAAGTCTATCTGTACCATCAATGTGATATTTTCACTGGTGATGGCTGACAAAAGGTTGAGGTAGCCTGAAATTCGACTAATCAGAACTTGAAAAATTGCAGAAAAGAGCCACCAAAGTTAGGCTGATTTTTTTTTTCCTATGCAGAAAGGCTGAGACTTAACCTATCTGGGACTGTATGAAACTCATCGAGTCTTATAGGTTAAGTATGGAAAAGGTCCATGAAGAATCATTCATTCATTCATTCATTCATTCATTCATTCATTCATACATACATACATACATACATACATACATACATACATACATACATACGTACGTACGTACGTACCGTATTTGCCGCCGTACAAGGCGACTGGCCATATAAGATGACCCCCCAACATTTCCACTCAAAATATAGAGTGGACGGCTCTGCTGTTGCGCCGGTGGTGGCTGCCCAGGGCTCCGCCCGGGCTCGCCCGGGAAGTTCATGGCCGGCGGGGAGGAGGGCGAGGAAGAGGGGAAGAGGCTGGGTGGGCGGTGGGAGGAGGAGGAAAAGGAAGAGGAGAAGCGGGCGGGTGGCGGGCGAGCGTGCGCACGCCAGCTGGCTCAAGCAGCGAGAGGGCGAGGAAGAGGGGAAGAGGCTGGGTGGGCGGTGGGAGGAGGAGGAGGAGGAAGAGGGGAAGCGGGGTGGTGGTGGGCGAGTGCGCGTGCACCAGCTGGCTCAAGCAGTGAGAGAGCGAGGAAGAGGGGAAGAGGCTGGGTGGGTGGTGGGAGGAGGAGGAGGAGGAGGAGGAAGAGGGGAAGTGGGCGGGTGGCGGCCAAACGACTGCCTCCATCCCAACCAACTGTCTGCCTGCCTGCCCACCTGCCTGCCTTGCTCCCCGGCGGCTCTGGGGGCTCCTTCCTGGACCAAATGAAGTGCACCGGCGCCGGCGGCTCCTTCCTGGACCAAATAAAGTGCACCCAGCGTACAAGATGACCCCCCCACTTGGAGGCATGTTTTTTGGGCCAAAAAAATCATCTTGTACGCCGGCAAATATGGTAGATATAGATATATAGATTTGTTTGTTTGTTTGTTTGTTTATTTATTTATTTCCCACTCCCATTAGTGCCAATGCACTACTCTGAGCAGGTACAACAAATATAATTTTAAAAACGAGGATAAAAACAATAAAATCAACTACAATTGACCCTTAAAAACAGATCGGTCAGAGCACTCACATAAAACCAGAGTGGATAGAGGAAAGGGGGTGAGGGAAAGGTGATTAGTTAGGGTTGGTGTAGAAAACCTCTCTGAAAAGCAGTGGGAGGGGACTAGGCAGGCTTCCATAAGATTGGAACCACCATGAAGAAGGCCCTACCTCTTGTGGAAGATTTATGGGCCTCCTTTGGGTTGGCCACCCAGAGGACCCTTTACTGAGATGGAGGTGGAGGGCATTAAAGAAAGATGCTCCAAAAGGTAACATGGCCCAAACCACTGAGTGTTTTATATGTGTCAAAACCTTGAACCTGATTCAGAACGCAACAGGCAACCAGTGGTGGCAAACCAAAACCAAAGTGATGCAGTAAAATTTACTCTCATCCTCCACCAGTCTGGCTGCTGCATTCTGGACCCACTGAAGTCTCAGGCTCAAGGGAAGCCCCACATAGAAAGCATTGCAGTAGTTGATCCAGGAGATGGGCAGGGCTTGAACCAAAGTCCTGAGGGAGGCTTCATCTAGGTAGGGGCAGAGCTGGGCGATTAGCCTAAGCTAGTTAAAGGCTGATCTGGGCTTTTCCTTTGGCCGTTGCTTCATTTTATTTTGCAATGAAGCAGCTCATTAAACTTTCAAAATAAATAAGTAAATAAATAAACAGGAGCCCTGCCCCACCCAGGATAAACCATTTAAAACAGTGTCTTGAGAGAGAGGTTTTGCAGAGAGAGGTGAACACTGGTGCTGCTTGTGTGTGTGTGTGTGTATACAGTAGATGAGTATGAGTGCACATTCACCTTGTCTCATCCTCCCTTGTGAGGCAACAGGCAAGACAGAAGGTGCTTGCCAATGACTGCTTTGTGTGTGTAAGAGCGAGTGCTCAGTTGGTCTTTCCTTTCTGCATCAGTTCAAGCAATTGCATGCTTTGAAAGTAGTCAACTTTTTTAAAAGTTGAAGGGTTTCTGGTGGAGAGGAAAAATCTATAGATTGGGAGTGTAGGCTGATTTGCATTTCCCATTCCATCATGTGATCAATGGAAAAAAAATTGCAAATCCGTCTGTCCCAAACCTGTAGTATTTCCAACATTCCTTCTTGTGTAATCAGGCTCTGACAGATAGTATTTCTATTCTATCAATTTTTCATTTTACTTTTTAGTATGCACTTAATCCAAATGGACTCTGTCCAGCGATGGATGGAAGACTTGAAGCTCATGACAGATTGCGAATGCATGTGTATTCTTCAGTCTAAACCCATCAGCACAGAAGACGACACACAGAGTGAATGTTCCCTTTCATCACAACGTAGTGCCTGTGACAATTTGCAATTATTGCTGAAAAGGGCTTGGATTATAAGCACTGAGCTGACCAGGATTGTCCAAAAACTGGAGAAGAATAGATGGCAGAGGGTTCACAGCATGACAGTAAGAGTCAATTGCCACGTCCGCTCAATGATAAGTGAATACAATACATTCACAAGAAATTCCTGGGAAGAAATGCATCAGGTAGGATTATTATGACAGGTAACTTGATTTTGAATTGACTGTGTCCACCCAGGATGCTTATATAAACTCATTTAAAAAAACAAAACCAAGACAGAGAGAGGTGAAATTGCTACATAAGGAGCAGATTTTGTGCTCTAAATTGGTCCCAGGGCCATATTTTGCACCCTTTTTGAAACATTCACCATGAGCTTCCTAGGGCTGTGTGTGGGTTTTCTGAGTATGTTTAGATGCCAGTGTGGGGATCCGGAATGCCTGCGGATCTGAGTCCATCTGTACATTTGTAAACTCAATGCATCCAAAAACCAAAACAGCTGTACAATACGTTCTTTGGTTTTGCACTGATCCATAGGAGATTTGGATCTTTGGTATATCCTAAAGACAGGAGTAAACCTACCAGAAGTCAGTTGCAGCTAGCTTCAAACATTTGCATAAGGCACCCTTAAAAATTGCTTAAGGTATCTGGCTGCAGAGACAGAGGATTTCCCCACTGTGCTTCCTTGATGTGGACTCAACTGATCCATAGGCTATCCCTTCCAGCTCTGCAGTTTGACGATGATGATAATGTATTCACTGCTTTGCCTCAGAATTGAATCTGGCCATTCTACTTGAAATCCGGACTTCATAAAATCAGTCTGAATCAGATAATTTGATAAGAATTTAGAGTTGGTTTTCTAATTCATATTCCTAGTTAAGTGAGAATGATTTAAAATCAAGTACATATTTTCAGTGAAACTAGAGATGAAAATAATTACATATTTTTAATGAAATCTATTTTATGTTTCTGCTTACATGACAATAATATTAGTTATCAATTCAAAGTTTGGAAATAGCCACACTGAATTATTTTATAATATCTACTTCATTTTAGTAGACATTATGAAATTATTTCATTGTGTTAATAATTAGTAATGTGCTTTAAATTTGGAAAAATCAGTTGTAATTATTAACACCCCCTGTGAAAATAATGAATTACAGTGAAATGGAATATTCATGGTTATTCAACATTAACTAACATTAAAACAATTTAAAAATAGTTTTATATACATTGTGAAAATTATATAAAATCACAAATAATGAATTAATTTTTTAACATAATAATAAGATATGCTCAAAAAGAAAATACAACAAAGTTCTTTTTCTTTTCTCTGCAGTATGAAAAAATGCTAGTGGAAAAATGTTCAGAACTTACAACTGTTACTGAAAGGTAATACTGTATGAATGTTGTTGTAGTATTCACCCTGAGTTATACATTGTAAGTTATGCATTATTCATGTTCTATGTTAATGTGGTTAGGAGGCGGGGCCTAAAGAGATGTTAAAACATGGAGCCTGAGTGGAGTGGAGCAGTCAGAGAAAGTCTCAGTCTGGAATCAGAGAGAGAAAGATGGTTCGAGGTCTGAGGACTGATTAGTTAGAGAATAACCTGTGATAATTAATAGAGAAGGTAAAATGGATGATTGATGAATCTTGAAGAAGGGTGAACTTATGAATAATTCAAGAAACCATCTGTAATTAGTAAACTTGTTCTGTTGAAACTTCAGTACTGGATGGACCTTCGTCTTTTCTAAGTAAACTAAGTTGATAAAAGGGATCAACTGGTGGCAGCGTTATCAGAGGACGTGCTGAGGTACCTTGTGAGCTCTGTGTTTGGGGAAACAAGCAGGGGCCACGAGGGTGAACGCCACACAGTTGTTAATCATTATTTTGCTAACTTTGAAGAAAGGGCGGGAGGCTTTTGCACATTTGACTTACTTCTTCCCATTTTCTGAATTTTAAGTAACGACTATATTTGTGCCTAGTTTAGGTGTAGTTCACATGTTCAGCCACCTCAACTGCAAATGCAATGTTTTTCTGTTCTTTTGTTTCAGATGCATACAGATTGAAGATGAACAAATACTGAAGGCTATGAAGGCTTGTATTAATGATGCACTAACCACAGTTGCCCAGTATTTTGGCCAATTGATAGAACTAGCTTTGACCCATGAAATAAAGGTTAGTGGTTGGGTGTTTTTATTACAATAAGGAAACTATGTTGGAAATGCTTTCATTCTGGTCTAATTTTATATCCCTTCATGATATACTAAAGCATTTGTTGTCTTCTGTCATCACCTGTTTTCTCATTTGGAGGGATGGGAAGGGCACTTGATTATTCTCCAGGGCAGACCAGTCTTCCTGAACTTGGCACCCTTCAGGTGTGCTGGACTACAGATTCCTAGCCAACACAATTCCCCTTCTATTAACCTCTTGGTTAACAGAACAGCACAAATGCATTTTGTCCATCCAGACTATGTTGAAACCCCCCCACCACCACCACCAAAAGTGGGAAGGGCTGGAATAACATTAAAAGTGAGACTCACGCTCTCAGGAGGCTTCTGGGAGTAAAATTATTATATTGTGCATTGAACTGATTGTGGTGGTACTCAGGAGAGCATTTGTTTACAGTGGGTTGCCCAAATGGAAGGTTGCTTGCACAACTGATCATTTCCTGCCTTTTCTCCTTCTTACCTTCTGTCTCCAACACCTTACATGCTTTGTATTGGCAGGAGACACGGGGGGGGGAGTGGAGAAGTGGAGGGAAAAGACTGGCCTCATACTAGCACAACTGTAGCACAAAATCTTCTTAGAATTGAAACTTGGACTGAAGGACAGTATTGGCAATTGGGAAAAGAGAGCAGTTGCCCTAAACAATACATCTTCTTTACTACAAAGTTTAAAATGATTAAATTGACAAACCACCTAGACATCACTTCTTTTGCGGGTATAAGGACATAAATGAAATTTATTGTCTTGTATGTCACACAGAACTTGGTGAGGGAAATAGATTCATCAGATAACCTGTATTCTGCTGAATCAGCTACTAGCAGCTTACTCAGTCTTACCCACGAAGGCTCTCATTTGTGTCGCATCATTGCTAAGGTAAGCTACTCTTGGAATTGATCGATCTGAACATTTCTTAAGGTTTCTCTGGACATGCATTTGTTTTATGGGTGTAAGCTGTCAAATAAATTCCATGATGTTATACATCCACAATGTGTCTAGGAATACATTCTCTATTATGGGAGGAAAGTCAAGGGTCTTTTCATTCATTCATTCAGAAAATCAAATAAATCCACAGCTCTGCTCATTAGTACAGTATAGTCATATCAGATCAGAATGTTAAATATAGCATGTTGTAAAATAAGTGCAGCATTAAAACTGCCAAAACAGCAGTTAAAGTAGTCTGCCTAATAATCTAATAGCAGCAAAATCCCTTGTGATAATCTTCTAAGAAAGGAAAATATTAACAGGTCAGATGTGGTTCTTTAAAGAGACAGTTCCCTAGACATGAGAGGGATGTGGTGGCGCTGCGGGCTAAACCACAGAAGCCTGTGCTGCAGGGTCAGAAGACCAAGCAGTCATAAGATCAAATCCACGTGACGGAGTGAGCTCCCGTCGCTTGTCCCAGCTCCCGCCAACCTAGCGGTTCGAAAGCATGCAAATGCAAGTAGATAAATAGGGACCACCTCGGTGGGAAGGTAACGGCGTTCCGTGTCTAAGTCGCACTGGCCATGTGACCACGGAAGATTGTCTTCGGACAAAAACACTGACTCTATGGCTTGGAAACGGGGATGAGCACCGCCCCTTAGAGTCGAACACGACTGGACAAAAATTGTCAAGGGGAACCTTTACCTTTACCTTTATCCCTAGACATGAGGAGAGGATGGTGGAGGGAATCTGAGACACACTAAGAAAAAGAACCTGTCGGATTTTCACATCCCTGTTGAGGATACAGTAGATGTATCGGCTCTTGCTTTCTAGATCACAGCAGTCTTAATCCATGTCTTACAAAAACTGTTGATGTGTGTGGATCAATCTTCTGCATTTGGCATTGTATCATGAGAGGGCCTTTGACTAGTCCTGCCTGGAGTGAACTTGTTTTTTTTCCCTCCCTTCCAGTTCTGAGAGATGTGTTTCCTGTCTGTCCATCACCACCACCAAGTGCTGAATAACAGCATCAATTTTTTTTTGTATTGCTTTGTTTTGTGTCTTGTGTCTTTGGATTTTGGCTGACATCCTTGCACAGACTAACACAGCTACTTCCTCCAAAAGCATCATTTTGGAGACTGTGTGGATGTGACATTTTGAGAAGATGTACCACTAAGTTCACTTTTGCTAAATTTCAAAATATTTTATTACTAGTGCAAGTGCAGCTTCTTTTCAAAATAGTAAGCCCACCCTTTGAAATCTTTAGCTTTTTTGCTGAGATTTTTGGACTACACCTCCTTGCATATCCAGTGGACACCCTGCCTTGGATATTATGGGACTTGTAGTATCTTTATCTTGTTAACACTATCCAGCTGAAAGGGGCCCCAAGGACCCTCTCTTACTTTTGTGGGAAACGAAACAAGAAGGCGGGGGGGGGATATTCAGCTTAGCTGTAGCTGTGATACTAGGCAAGAAGGGCTTTTCCTACATGCTCCTTCTCAATCTGAATAGCTTACTGGTGCTTTAAAGCCATATGGTATTTTCCTGTCATTAATGCAGGGAATATTTAAATGCCAATGCATTTCAAATGTTTAAAACAGTTATATACATGATGTTACTTATCTTTACAATGATGCTGCATTGAAGGCTGTGGGTATATGCAATATCACAGACTGGAGGGAGAGAGACTGTCATTAAAAGAGTGGTTTTCAAAGGTGTTGTAAGAACATATACTTCCAACTCATGCCACGCAAGCAAAACTATGACATTAAAGTCATGTTTGAATCTTATGCTTGGTGTGTCTGTGTGTCTCCTCCTAAAAAAAGAATATTGCCCCCTCACCACCAGTTTGAGAGTGGAGGTTAACTTTAACCCTCTGCTGTTTTCCAGCAGAAAATCTCCTCCCTTAAAGTGGCAATTTGCAACAAATAGCAATTTGGAGGAGGAGAATTTTTTTTGCTGGAAAATTGCATGGAAGGGAAAAATGTTAGCCAGCACACATCCTTTTAGGAAAAAGTAAGGGTGTTGAAGCATAAGATTATAAGATGTCCTTACAGTGCTTAATTTGTCCCTTAATCACTATATTGCACTAATGCCCCATAGGAGCTCATCACAGATGGAATGTCAGCTCAGTTTTTACACCTCTTCATTCATTTAGTATAATAAAAACAAAAAGCTAATTCAGGGTTCCTTTACTGGGATATGTCCTACACTATATGGTTAGAGGATGTGGTCCTAGTTCCAAATAAATAAACAACTTCTTTTGAACATTATTAACTAATAAATAAACTGAATGCAAGGAACTTTATATTAATTTAATTGATTGTCTTTTCACATCTCTTCCATTTCAAAAGGTCAGTTGACAAGGGTGTTTTAGAGGTTATTCTTGGCTGCCAGTCACCTTTATTGAGTGTGCTCAAGACAAACATTGGCTTCACACTTAGGTGTTGTGTTAATCCTTCATAATTATGCACAGTTCCAAAGAGTGGTATTGGTAATGAAAAGAAGGAAAGAGCAGAGAATTGGAGGGGGGGAACCCAAATAAATCTTGTCCTGGTTTAGTCCATGCAGGATGGTTGTGCGGGAGGAGTCTGAGACTGGGATTCTCTAGTATACTTTGGGGGGGGGGAATTCCTCTGGAGACAGCAAGAATAAGGTTCTGCCAAACTCCTTTAGCTAGGAGTAAGCCCCATTCAATTCAGAGAGCACAATCTGGTTGTTCAGCCCATAGCCCATGTAAAGTAGAATCATTGTTAAATCAGTATGTACATAACTCTCATTCATTCATTCAGTAAATCTACAGTACTCCAGTTGGGTCTTAGTTCTGCATAGATGTGCATAGGATTGCACTCTCGTCCTGTGCATCTGTGAAGCTAGTTTACATTGGATTACTGTTCCTAGACCATTTCTTCAGTTTGTTAACTTTTTGCATGAAAATAGGCCATTAGGTGCAAGCAAGTTATGACCATTCAAAGCTAAAAACAAACACAATCATACTAATGTAAGAAGTTCCCAGGCCAGGAAGTGCTCTTAAGGGCTAGGAGAATACGAGTTTGTCCTTACTGCTATACTACGTTAGCACCATATAATGAGCTATCATAATATTCTCTGATAATTGAGTTGTACGTTCTTTGCCTGTCATTGAATAGCCAAGAGCCTATCAGTAGTTAGAATTGATGCTTTTGAATTGTGGCACTGGAGGAGGTTCTTGAGAACCCCCTGGACTGCAAGGAGAACAAACCTATCAATTCAAAAGGAAATCTACCCTGAGTGCTCACTGGAAGGACAGATCCTGAAGCTGAGGCTCCAGTACTTTGGCCATCTCATGAGAAGAGAAGACTCCCAGGAAAAGACCCTGATGTTGGGAAAGTGTGAAGGCAAGAGGAGAAGGGGATGACAGAGGACGAGACGGTTGGACACTGTCACTGAAGCTACCAACATGAATTTGACCCAACTCCGGGAGGCAGTGGAAGACAGGAGGGCCTGGCGTGCTCTGGTCCATGAGGCCACGAAGAGTTGGACACGACTAAACGACGACGATCAGTAGTTACATATCAGGCAGAGATGTTTATGAATTGAGTATTTTACAAATTCAGATATCCCTCTAAGCTAAATGTATTTATATGACCCCCCCAGCTCATTTTTTTAAAATTCTGATCTGTTCTGTTCCTCTTAAGTGAAGATCACAATGTAATCATCCTTCAGATTTCACAATTAGAAATGCACTTTTTGTTGTTGAGAAAACACATTAAAACATGCACCACATATTTAATGTGAATGCAGTTGTGAATTAAAATACCTTTTCACAGATTAATGCAGAAATGGTAAATACTAACCCATAAGAATGAATGGATAAATTCAGATGAAAATGACACTGATCTGGAGAAGAAGAGAGAGGAAGACCCATTCTACTACTCTGCACTTCATATTTCACATAAAACTTAAAGGCCATGGACTTTTCCTGCTGAAGCCAAAAAGCAAACAAACAATCAGGACATCCTTATTATATATAAATAAGTTAAACTGTATGTAGTCATTAGAAGAAAATTTTTAGTCTTCTTTAAGAATTGTGTGGCACCTTTAACAGATTTACTACAGCATCAGTGTCCATGGATGTACTGCCACGTTCTGTAATGCACTTTGTTAAACACTGCTTTTTCAGATTGGTGGTTTTCAAAGTCAAACATCTTACTCTGTTTGCAAAAGCAGTCTGTATTTTCAAAACCTGGACATTACAGGTTATAGTAAACTGGGTTATAAATTTCAATGAGGGCTTCCTGTAGTTGTTTTATTGAACCAAGTTATTTGCAAGTTTGTTCAGCCTCATAACAATTAAGGCACAAAGCAAGTCCTTAACTACAAGGGATGAATATATGATATGGTTCCTGTCAGGAGTAGCTTTTTCCGAAGAGGCCTATTGAGCCCAACAATTACATGATTTACAACCTGATCTCTAAATCAGTTAAGCTGGAGTTAAGCTTTATAAAAGCCTTATATAACCCTTATAAAAGTGGATCCCGACAGGGTTGCTCTTGTTGTTTTAAAAAGAAACAGGACCACATGGGTGGCAGGATACAGAAAAATGACTTTCAGCATTTTAACTCTCTTTCACTCTCTCCTGCATTCATATGTCTGTGTGCACACACACTCCACATTAGATGAGTTCTTTTCCTACAGCTGATGCTATGAAAATCAATGCTGTTTTAATAAAAGAAGCAGAAGAGATTTCCATTAAAATCCTTCTTTGCTTAGTGCCTCTGATATTTAGAAGCCCTTTATGTCTTGTCGGCTTCTCTGGGCAGCATCATGCCCAAAAACACTATTTAATGCTTGATTACAACCACAGTTTAACCTCAAGCAACCTCCTACCACTTACAGAAATTATGCTATTTGTGCTATACTTGCATAACAAAGTAAGAGATTTGGAGAATTGTGTGCATTTGTCTCAGGCTGTAAGTTGTCTTCCACCTGCCTGTGGGCATATCTGGTTCCCTTGCAGAAAAAAAAACCACTATGGCTGAGAGACAACTATTTCATTCTGAATCTGGATTACCCTTTTCCAGAAGATTTGCCAAGCTGCAGAGGGGGCTTTGCATTTAACACATTTTTGCTGAGTGTAATGATGGACCATTCATTGCCTACCCAGCCCAGAAATAATGAGACAAGGCACAGGTGTTGGGTTTAAAACTTGGGCCACAACTTTATTAACTATTTAATAATAGGACCTTTCGCTTGGCAGAAACTTCACAATATACTGCCTCATGTCTGTAATGCTTAAAAATATATGGCTGCACAACCACAAATGGGAACATTGGATTGTATTTCCAAGAACCTCAAATTGTGGGATAGTAGTCCTTCCACAAAAAAGAAACTTCCCATCTCCACATATTTCTAATGCATTAATTCAAGATAGCCCAGAAAGATAACATGGGTACTTAAGGTAAACTGACTTGATGTAGATCTTGCGTCTATTTCATACAATTCCAGTGTACTGAAACAAGTCATGATAGGGATGACAGTCAAAAATATGCGTAAATGGCTATGCAAAATTTGAGGATAAGGGGTGTTTTAACTTTGCTTCAGTGCATTTAGCTGCAAAACCAATTGTTTCCATTTTAATATTTCAAGAGAATGTTGTGATCTCAAACATAGAACACTAATGGCAGCTCACCATATGAGCATCAAGTTTATTCAATGATAAAGGCGAAAGGTGGAACTCAATAACTTAAACACACCTCTCGCAGAGCCTTACATTCCTCTTACAGTCCTCTTTCACCATCTCTACATGGAAGTCAATCAGCTTGCCTACATGGTAAGCTCTCTCAACACGTCTTTGTGGTGAATTGGCAATTTATTTCACAATTTATTTAGAATAATTGACTAAAAGGACATCAGTTCTGAAGTAATGCTAACCTGCAGGGTAATGTTTTATTCCAACTTGTTTTTCCTCTTGGAACTCTCCTGCAGGAAGGTGGCATTGTTGCCCTCTTCAAGATTTGCCGCCAGGATTGCTTCAGGTGCCTGTATCCTCAGACACTCAGGACGCTGGCATCCATATGCTGTGTGGAAGAAGGAATCCAAGAGCTGGAAAAGGTATAATATTATTGAGCTACAAAAGTTGTGTGTTATCTCTGGTGTTGTTATTCTCTAGGATGGGTATTGATAGGAGGCTCCTTTTTCTGATCCAAAAACTCCATGTGGAGTGGAGTTTTTGGCAAAGCTCTTTTCCTGCTCTTTCAACAGAAATATTATCCAGCACATTAGAGAGTTCAAGAATCTGTGTGTCTCTTTTCACTACAGACACACCTGGTCAGCTCACTGACAGAAAGCTGTTAATTCAGCAAAACTCTCAGCGCAGGCTATCTTGCGCTTCCACCGTACCTGGGGCAATTCGTACATCCCAGCTGTGCTGCAGATTTTTTTAAAATATTTTTTTATTTTATCACACATATAGACATACAAATCTAACAAAAAACACACAAAACAAGCAAAAGCAATAAAAATAAAAAACAAAAAACAAAACAGAACCCCACATATAGGCAGGGTGGAGGCATTTCCATACAGTATTATCCATTATATAAATCTGACTGCATCAAACTTATTGCTCTTAAAAATTTAATTCAAATATAAACCGTCCTAAGGTTATAGTAATTCTAGTGACTGATTTTTTTAAAGATTATTTCTCTTACATCCTTGGCTAACCAATTATATCCAACTGTGCTGCAGATTTTTAATGCTAAATCTGTAGCACAGCTTCTTTATGGTGTCCCCATTTGGATGTGTGCCTTTCACAGCTCTATAAGAGGGCCCAATCAATGTTTTTGTATAAAATCTTTGGCCTGCCTTGCTGTGTTTCTTATCTGACCCTATTCCTTGAAGCTGGCCAGTATAGGCTTGAGGACCTGGCTTGGCCCAGATTCAAATATTGGGTCAGAATCTATCCCCCCCCCGGCCCAAGACATCCTGTTTCAAGTGCTGCTCTTTGACAATGTATTCCCAAAGGGTCTCGCCTATTCATCATGCAAATCAGGACTCTTGGGCTGTCACCTGATCTGTTGGGCTCAATACCCCCATCACAGGTATTTTGCACAATCAAAAACAGAGTCTTGGATACTGAGGGGCAAACCCTGCATAGTGCTGCACGAAAGATTTGCTCTCTGCTGTACTTCCAGTTTCCCCTCTCCTATGTCAGGATACTGGATTATTTTTATCTTTTAGATCGGTGGTCCCCAACCTTTTCTGAGTTGTGAACCGGTTGAGGGGTGGGGTCAGTTTGTGAGGGGGCCAGGGCACCCCCTTGCACTTGTGGATGGGCGTGCGTGCTTGTGTACATGCGCAGAGGGGCAGAGCGTGCTTGTGGATGGGTAGGGCATGCTTATGCAAAGGGGTGGAATGTGTTCACGTGCATGTGCCAATGGGCAGGGCACACTCATGGAGGGGCAGATGCACTTATGAGTAGGCGGGTCACCTGTGCATGCAGGTGGTGGACAATGTATGCAGGTGGGGTGGGTGGGTGGAGTGTGTGCGGGGAGCGCAGGAGATCTGTCTCCGCAGCTTGGTCCTGCCATGGCCACAGAGCAGCACCAGGCTGCGGACCGGGAGTTGGAGACCCTTGTTTTAGATCATCCCCAGGACTTGCCAGGTGCAATGTTGTACCTTCCTTGTTGGTGCACAGCAGATTTAGGGGATTACCTATAGAACCGAGAGTGTGCCCTTGTGGTCAGGGAACGGTTGAAGCATTGCAGCACATGCTGTTGTATTGTACGTGGTATCAGAATATCCGCCTGCAATACCTTAGCCCTTTCCTTTTCCCCCACTCTGGCTGGGGCGACTCAGATAAAATCCAGCACCTGCTGAGTGGCACTAATAAGAAACTCACCCAGACAAAGCAAGATATATTCATTCCATCATGCAGATGTGTTGTATCATCTTGTCCTAACAAGAGTCCTAACAATGTCATCTGGGTATACCCTGGAATATATACATATTCCACCCCCCCCAACATTTTCTTGTATTTCACTGTCTTGTACTGTATGCCAATAAGGTACTGAAACTGAAACTGTTGTTCTTATGTGCTGCCAAGGCACCTCCGACTTATAGTAACCCTATGAATGAGCAGTCTCCAAAATGTCCTGACCTCAACAGCCCTCCACTCAGCTCTTGCAATCTCAAGTCTGTAGCTTCCTTTAGGGAGTCAATTGATCTCTTATTTGGTCTTCCTTTTTCCCCGCTGCCTTCCACATCATTGTCTTTTCCAGAGAACCCTGCCTTCTACCCGAAGTAGAGCAGCCTCAGTTTCAACCTTTTTGCCTCCAAAGATAGTTCAGGCTTGATTTGTTCTAGGATGGACTTGCTTGTCATTTTGGTAATCCAAGGTATCTGCAAAGCTCTCATCCAGCACCACATTTCAAATACAGTGGTGCCTCGCTTAATGACGATAATCCATTCCAGGAAAATTGTTGTTAAGGGAAAACGTCATAAAGCGAAAATAAAAAGCCCATTGAAACACATTGAAAACTGTTCAATGCATTCCAGTGTGCTAAAAACTGACCATCCAGCGAAGATCCTCCATATGGTGGCCATATTCGGTGCCTGTATAGTGAGGAATCTGTCCCTAAACACAGCGGGGAGCCATTTTAATCACCCGGTGGCCATTTTGAAAACCCAACGATCAGCTGTAAAGATCGTTGTAATGCGAAGAATCGGTTCCCGAAGCAGGGAACCGATCATCGCAAAGCAAAATTCCCCCATTTAGACCATTGTTTTGCGATTGCAAAAACGTCATGAAGCGGATTCATCGTAATGCGGGGTAATCATAAAGCAGGGCACGACTGTAAATTATTTTTTCCCTATTAGCTTTCTTTACTGTCCACATGGTGATCGAAAACAGGAGTGTGGATGATCTTCGTCTTCTTTTCAGAAAGTGATTCGCTTCCCAAAAAATGGTGTCCCACAAATATTCAACCTCTAGCAATGAATTGTTCCAAAAACTGGCTGTACGCCTCTGATGAGCAGGTATAGGTTAAGATTTATCCCCTTAAAATCTATAGCAAAATCTCTTGTTTTTTTTAAAGATCATGAAACAGCACTTTCATTAAAATTCCGATTTGTCTTTATAGATGCTGAGCCCCTGGCTCAGCCACTGTCTTGTGGATTCCTGAGTTGTACCCCCCTCCCTACCCCAGAGACTTTCCCAAGCTCTTGAGGCAGGGAGTTCCATGTACTGGGCCACTAAGAAAATCCTCCCAAAAGTGTCACATAAAAGTGCGAGTTTTGTAGTTTAGTTTGCAATTCACTTCTTTAAAAGCATGGGTCACAATATCTAGGATACAAATTTAAATAGAGGGTACATGATAGTGTGGATGGGGGTGGCAACAAGGTGGGGAGGGGAGGATGGGAGTGGGATCAGCTGGAATGACATTTGTATAATAATACCTGGTAATGGACTTCCAAATGAGAATGGCATTATTAACGCAGGTTGTGAATATTCAATAGATTGATGATAATATTAATATCACAGCAATCCAGGCAAAAGGAAGTTGCAAACGATATGAGTTCTCAGGAGTTGATTGTTTGGACCTGAGTTTTCAGGAAAAGCAGGTCATGTTGAGGTCTGAGGTTTGCCGAGAACAACTGTTTGGCTTAACATAGGAGTGTGGAGAAAGCCAGCTTATTAATATAAGTATCCTCTTGTGGAGCTTAGTTATGGAAATACAGCTGGCCAGAAGGCCCTATCCTATCTATTTGGCCACCCCCTTGGGTGAAATGCAAAATTGCTGTACTTATTTAAGAGTAATATTCTGGCTAGTTAAATAACTAGTTACCTGTACTGTATAGGTAATTTTATGTCACTCATGACTTCTTACTTTGGACTTTTGTCATTTCTTTTCTTATAAAACTCCCAGTTAAATTGCCTTCTTGCTGCTTTTGTTAACTGAAATTACATCTGCTGCAGATCTGTCTGGTATCTACTTCTCTCAACTTTTCTCTGCTTGTAGGCTTCTCCTCTCCTGCCTCACATACTACCCTGTTCCTCTCAGCCCTTCCATCCCTTTTCTCCTCCACTTACCTTTAACCAAGCAATCTTTGGTCCAAACAAAATGATGTCTGTCAGCATGCTTTGCTATTTCTGTGGTACTTGTATTCAATTACTCTAAAGACCGACTTCTTGCCTAGTCACTAATTTACCTGCACAAAGACTTAACTCTCCTTTTATGTGCTGTTCCTTTGAACCTTAAACGATGTTGTATGAATTGGATAGGCACATTCTGTATACACAGAAGCTCCTTCTATCCATCAATGTAACTTGGTCCTCACAATGCACAAGATACTGTCAACTCTTTGAGAAGCTGAGAAGATTTAAATAATAAATCAACACAATTTTCATTCCCTGTTTTGTGTTTCAATTATCATAATTTATTTCCATTTCTGACTTCAGGTGCATATATTGCTTATCATGCCCTGTTAGAATGGTATGCTGATCAATTGTCTGTAATAATGCTAATAATCATATATATGCATATATCTAAGTAGTTACTATGTGCATGAGAAAAGTATTGGAAATAATTGCATTTGAGTTCATGAAAATGAATTTGTAAAAAAATTGTGTATCATTCAAAAAAGAAAAATCCTTGAAATGTGAAGATGTTTAAACAAATGCAAGTCCTTTGCCCGTCATCTCTGCAAAATGTCATCTACTGGGACAATGAGGTGACACAGAAGGGGTAGAATTACGCCAGTTCTGAGACAAATATAACAATCAAACATTAAGTAGACGCCATCAGCAATGTGCTTCATAAGCTAATTTTAACTTCCGCCAATAGATGCTTGACTGACTCTAAGAGTAAACATGGAAATGCTATGACCTATCATTCGGATTGCTCATATGCTTCCTTCATCCCCTCAGAAACTCATCTTTTAAACTTAGGAAAATGAGTTCCAGTCACTAAGCCTTGATTTAGTATCCTTTGTATTTTATGAAACACATCTTGTACATTCAAATAATGTGCCTCTTCAACTTAGTGATAAATACTTTCATTTCTATTTTACAATGACATGGCTTGTAGTTTAGTGATGAATTAGATGCAAAAAAA